TATATATATATATACACACAGATCCAAATCCTATGCATGCCTGCGTGTATGTTTCGCATGTGAGGTGCAAAGTACATCAAAGTACGCAAGCGGAACGTACAACATGTTTGTACGTAGTATATATACAGTAGCAAGCGCAGTATGCGAGCCATTACACAATATGTACTTCAGATGGAAGGACGTATGTATAGTAAGTGTCATACAAAGGGAAAGAGAATACATATCGCACATACGGGACATACATAGACTATACACAAGGCTGTGTGCATGTACATGTGCATGTACACTTATGTGTATATATATATATGTAGACAAGTAGATTTATACATATATGAATATACACATAAACAACAGCTTGCTAGGTCTCCAACGCTCCAGAACTCGCTGAACATCCCCACAGTCGCACGGCGGGAACTTTTTGTGCGCTGGCGGCAGTGGACATGATCTCCTCCACGAGCCCGTTCTGGAACGGGCTGATCAGTCACCACCAACAAGAAGTTGCGGGCGGGATCTTCCGCCTCGACCACCACCTGGTCCACGAGCTCGGACTTCCTGCCGCTGTTGGCAATCTTCTGGGCAGCTTCTGGGCCGCGATAGGGGCCGGCTGCAGGGAACGACATTGCTGGTCAAGGATCTAATATTTCCCCACACCGACGATCGACAATCCGGGTCGATCGGCTGATCGCCTAAGTGGCCACGGAAAGAGCAGATCGCGGCTGTTCTAACGATCTGCAAACTGACCTCCTAATCTCTGCCTACCAGACCGATAATTAGGAGACATATACATACGAAAATGTATGTGGATCTCTTTCTTTCTGCTGGGCTTAGGGATCTCTTTTTTCTTTCTGCTGGGTGTAGGGGTCGGTGTCCCCGACCTTCAGGCCATTGGCCCTCTCTTTGCCAACTGGCTGTCTATCAGAATATATGTATTACAGGTGCAAAGACCACAAGACTAGAGGACTGATCAGAATCCAAAAAGAAATGCTTAGAACAATTCGAAAGAAAGACACACACACACAAGACATACACCTCTGTTGCTCTCTCAGTAAACAGGCTGGACTCTGAGACAATCCGTCGTGCGAAACCAGAGTGAACCACATGAATCACCCGCTCTCAGCGCCTGCTGCAATCTCCTAAGCTCCGTCAGGCGACGCACGTCAATGCCGAGCTCGCTCTTGACCGAGAAACGCGCCTGGGCCCAGGAAGTCGCACTGTACGGTATCAGTGCCCACCATCATGATCGGTCTGAACCCGTCGAACTAAGTTACTAATGAGCATGTGCCAGAATCGAGTGTGCTCTGCGAAGGCCCATCCTTCACGAGAAAAGCCTACCTTGGGCTAGCCAGACTGCATGCAACAGCAGACTGCAGCTGGGAAAGATCATTGTGATGATCGTCAACGAGGCTCTGCATGTGGAGCTTTGTGACCTGCTCAATTCTTGATGATTGGCGCTCGGAACTGTCGGATTGAGCTCGGGGTCTCGAACGGCCAAGCCCTACGACCACTCGCTGGGGCTCAGCGGACTTGGCTCTTTGAGCCGTGGCGCGTCTCTGTCAAAGCAGCCCCTCATCAGGTAGAAAGGAACAGAAGGCACTTTTGTCGCATTAAAACCTGCCAGAAACATTTCAACGCACATACTCTATATTCATATGAAAGGCGAGGCACTGCGGATTTCTCGCAAACAGCATGCATCGCTGCGCTTGCCGTTGCGATGTTTGCCAGACCAGACACCTGAAACGTGCACTTATTCACAATCCCTCTGCCGACCACTATGGGCTCACAGCCTGCTGACCGAAGCATCTTGATCCTCTCTTATCTGTCCACGTAAGCGCTTGCAGTGCAAGCTACCGCAGCAGACTTGCCGTCTGTGTGAGACCCGGGCCAAGCCACTTGAGTCTGCAGCGCAGTAGGCCTCTTTGCAAGGAACACTTAGAGTTCCGTCTACATCACTTCTTGACGGCTTTGAGGCTGCTTCGTTGGCTTCTTCGGAATTGGAGACTCCAGGGCCTCTAGGGTACAATGGCAAATTGCCGCTGCTCTCACTTCCTGCCTGATTGTTGAGGTCCTTGGCACAATCCGATGCACTCGAAGACAGAAACCTGCCGCCAACGGCGGCGCATGCCGGGACAGCTCCACTTCTCGAAATTTACAACCAAAGTTTGGCTTTGCCATGAACCCGACACCATGTGTGAAGTCTTTTCAAAGGCTGGGTCGCCGGACGAAGCAACATCTGCCAAGGCCGCATGCGTGCCTGGAGCAGACGTAGCCCGTCACGGCTGCTGGCACCCCCTCCCAAAATGACAATTGAATTCCCAGCGACCTATACCCAACGACCTATGCAAGCACGCACACACACACACACGCACCACTACGAAGTTTGGCTTTGAAATCTTGTGCAGCCCGGGGCCTGCGACTGCCGAAGCGCAAACAGTCTTCTTCAAAGGGCTGTCTGCCCCCTTGCACTCCTGGGGACGGAAAGTGGTGGGCCCAGGCACCGTCAGAATGTGCGAGCATATGCTGTCTACATGACCCTGCACGACTGTCTCTACCATATCCCGCTGCGCAGCTACCAGATCGGCAAGCACACGAAGCAATCTCCTTGCTTGCCGCATTTATGCTCAAACCAGCAAAGCCTGCGCAACAAGCTTTCGCGGGATGCAAGCAAACGGAGTGATCGACAGATGGCCTGCGATGGTTAGAAAAGAAGCTGATGTCAAGAGTAGGAAAGAAACTATCGAAGTTTTCGCTGAAACGGTGGCACTTTCTGGCTTTGCTGCATTGGAAGTGTCACGTCTGCTGTAGTGCAGCACTTCACGAAGCATGCGAAGCTTCTTTCACGACACTGCCGAGGAGACTGACCGGCTTTAAGACTCTGCACCGCTTGTCAAACAGCTCTCACTAGTCCGATGACGACGCAGGAATGTGTTATGCAAAAGGGTTCAAATTAGCGAATCTCCAACGAGGATCACGCTGAGAGGTCGCTCGGAAATACATCATTGCGCACGTGTGCATGCATATACTTATCTATGAATATACCTGTATATATATATATATACATATTATAGATATATGTATATTATATATATATATATATCAAGTGGTAAGGTCCTCGACCTATGTTTATTCCGAGCAATCGGATGAAACTACCAGATGCACCGACAATCCCACATGATAAACGATTGTCTGCTGCAATCCGGGACAGTTTCGGCCTATGCTGTTCACAGCAGCCCATACCTGCAGTGATGGCTGCACCAGAGTTTCAAGAACCTCAAGAACCTACTGGCGACTTGTGCAGCATTTGAGAGCCCACTATTTCACGATGTCGAGCAAAAGAGGCAAAGCTCTTGACTACATTCACAGCTTCGTACATTTACCCTTCGTCACTGAACTGGAATGCATGACAAGGCGACATCGAAGCCGCAAGCCGCATATTTGGCCTGGGGCACACAGAAAAACAGAGGAACCATCACAGACTTCATGAAGGGCTGTGATCCCCTTGCCGACTTCACTCCGGCCTTGTCACCACTGGAAAAGTACTTCGGGGAAGGCCGTGCATCGCACCTCATGCTACAACATCAAGGAAAGACCTCCATCCAACGCTCCAGTGCTTAGATAACTGGTCAAGCACTCCAGCCACCAGATCCACAAGACAATCACATCACACTACTCAGGCGGTCAGGAGCCACTGAGCGTCAGCACGGAAGCCAGAACACGGCAAACACCAGGATAAGATGCACCATTGGAATTCAAGCCAGAGACTAGAGGGGCAGCTATGAGGGAGTGGGGTGCACACACAAACATGCCCGCGCCGCCTGGCCAAAGCATTCTAAGTGAATCTACAGGTCTCTCAAAGCCTGTGACCAGACAACCCTTTTCGGGGTTCCAAACATGATGTCTCATGCAGTTGGAGCCTGCGCGGCGGATGTTCAGACCAACTAAATCGTCGAACAAGCACCGCTGAAAGCAAGCACGTTATCCCCGTTCTATCGCAACAACGCATGAGGCACTGCCCTCGCTGCAGGCAAGCATAATTGGGTTGCTCGGGGATGCAACATGTTTCATTTCTTCAACCCTTAGCTGGCCCAGGCTGGCTTTGCACTTGTTGGGATATAAACGGATGAACTGTCTATCCCGAACATAGGACCACTTTCAGCCCAACAGGATACGATGGTAGCAAATGCGAGCCATGTTGGGGATGGAGGGCGAAGGAGATGTGTTTTGTGAGTGTCAAGGGCTCTTCCGAGTCTTTGGCTGCATCGACACTCGTATGCGTAGCGCTAACAGGGTCCCTCCCTGAGCCAAGTGCCCATCTTCTACCTCTGTTATGCCCTGTGCACTCCATTGTTGCTTTCAACATGATGTACGGTACATGTACCTGTCTTGCTTTCACCAGGCTTGACAGATTTCAGGGCACGAACCTTGCGCATGGGTGCACGCCCCTATGTTGGAGGTGTGCCCGGAGTTAGCTTGGCGGTGTTTGCCTGCAGGACGGCCCCGATTGAACGTTGCGTCACTTTGGCGTGCACTCGTCCTCGACCCTTACGTCCTCGCCAGCTCGAGCGCAGCTTGCACGGAGCATTGCGAACATGTCCCCTGTACGGACATCAGTATTGGCCATTGCGCACCTTTCTTTCTTGCGTCCTTCCTTGCCTTCCTTGCCAAGTGTCGTTGCGAAGTAACGCTTGGCAATTTACACCAAGTCCAAAACTATGAATTCTCAGCGAATCGTACGAAATGCCAGCAGAAAGAGACACAAGCAGGAAAAACAAAAAGTGGACCCTTCAGATCGTCGTGACAGCTGCGCACTCTTGTAAAAGCATGAACATTCTCACGGACGAACCCAGCACTCGAACGTGAACTTTTGTCCAAACTTGTGAAACGTGGTGGAAGCCTCAGGCCAGTGTTTGGCCTCAGTGGAGCTCACTGGCAACGGGACCATGCCGGGTGTCAGGAGAGAACAGGGCAGATGGTCAGAGAGTGAGAGAGTCAGTGAGTGGCGAAAGTTCGCCCACCTGGAGTTGCCAGAATCGGCGGCTGCTCCCTCTGACCGCTCACATCGGCTCTCTTCCAGGTGAATCCGTGCTCAAGCGACAAGAGAGGACGCTGCCGATCGCAGCAAAGCAGCTGCTGACGGAAACGGTGACTAAAACAATGGTCTCATATGTACAGGGTGATTGTCGAGAAAAGACTCGGACCTCAGACCATTTGGAAGGCCAAGCCGAGGCACCCAGGCTTCCCAGTCTTTTGACCTAAAACTCCCGACCCACAACGATAAGTACTGACGTAAAGATCCTGTGATAAGCCATTCTGATACAAGAGTTTCTCGCTGACATTGGTCTTCTCAATTGCAAACAAGTCCACATCTAACCTTCTAGCATTCCACTCAGTCTGCAGGGCTGGCCTGCGCGGATATCCTGGCAAGCCTGAGAGGCCTGAAATTCGGTGCTCGTGGTGACCTGCACCACATCGCCTCAGGGCACCATGACCTAAGTTGCGGCATGCCCGTCTCGAGCTAGATGCGACACCACCACGGAGTGACGGTAAAGTGGCCCTGCATGCCCTGCTTGCCCCTGGCAGAATATACGATGCAAAAGTACATCTCGCAATGGGCAAGGCAAAGACTAGTGCTGATCGTCGGCGGCAGTGGGTCTTGGCTTCCTGCTGTTGCTTCAATGAACCGACGTCGATAAACCTGTGGCTCGCATCTGTATTCTACGGCTGCAGGATTCACAAGCGAGACGTGGTGAAACGATGTGATGCATGCCCTGCATTGACGCATGTCTCCAAAGTTCGAGGTCGAAGCCGTTGGAAGGCTCGGCACACTCGGCGACTTTCGGGACCTTGAAAAAAGCCGCACAACCATGACAGCAAAGTGAATTTGTTTGTAAGGTTGAGGAACCTGTGCAATCACAACACCAACCAATGACATGGTATCACATTCTGGGTTATCTGCGCGGATTCTTTTGGGGCAACTGCTCTTTTATCGGCCCTGGGTGCAAATCTTGACACATTTTCGCGCTTGGGGTAGAGAGAGAGAAAGAGAGCGCCATCTCCTCGTTGGCGTTCATCCTTTACTGCTCTGGGTTTTCAGGGTTGACTGTGCTTAGGATTCAGTTGAGTTTCTGTGCGGTGTCGGACGTAGGTTTTATCTCATTTCTCCGGGAAGCCCAAAAAACACAGACGGAATTCAAAACCAAAGGCCCGGATAGCACAACAAAAGGCACAGGCCACACGCGTTCCGCGCATGATCTGTGCATGTAATGAAACAGATAGACAACTGGATAGAGAGAAGATTGATTCATTGATCGCTGGATACGTGAACTGAGATGGATAGAGATGATCAAAATGGATAAATTCGGATAGATAGTAGGTAAATAGACAGGTAAGTAGGTAGGTAGAGAGAGTTAGAAACAGAGACAGGGAGACAAAGTAGAGCTGCTTATGGTGACAGAGACAGAGAGACAGAGATGGATACAGAAACAAAACCCAAAGATAAAGGCAGAGCAAGAGAGGAGACGAAGGTTGCCCAAGAAACTGAGACGGATAGAAAAGAAAACAGACACACAGGTCACAGGCCTTCCGCTCAGCTCAGGTCACCCCGTGCTCGTATGCACACATGCCATAAGTTGGTTAGACCATGCTGCAGCACATGACAACATCTTTGTCTACAGTCGAGAACCTCTTGCACCGGACAGCCTCAAGATTGACACACTGCCGGGCTCCTAGCTCCTCCCAAATGACGGCCTTGCCCGGGTCCAGCCGGACCTGCTAGAAGGCCAAAGGCATAGATGATCGGATCTGTGCGGGCTAGCGCAAGGAAGGGCGAAGGGCAGTGCGACACGCTATAATATACCAGAACTCCTTCCTCAGCGCGCAACTTGATTGGGATCGATGTGTATCTGCTTCTGGAGAAGGTGCCGCGCCGTCACAAACTGGGCAAGCAAGCCGTGCAATGAAAAGAGGATGGGATACTGTCTGACAGTGCCATACAATGCCCAAAACCTGAGCTGACAGCTTGGCTCTCATCTGGCCGACCCTTTGTGCCAGGGAGGCGATTCAGTGAGTGCTTGGCGCCATCTGGTGTGACCTGTGAAATGCAAAGTGATCTGGCTGGTGGTTTCCCAACTTTCGACGTGGCTGTGGCGCCGGGGAAAAGACGTATGCGACCTGCACAAGGACCTTGTCAGACGGGCTCACCTCAGCATATCATGGACTCAAACCGTGCCAGAATATCACACAATTTCCGAGTTGTCGACTATTCAGGACACTGTTGCATCATCCTTTTCTCGCCACGCTACATCAGGTCACACTCACCATCTCGGGGCGGAGCAACTACCAAGTGGACCTGGTCGACAACCCTGACAACCTGCTGGCCGGGAAAGTGCCGTGCAGGACTGTGCAGAGACAAGCAATTTGGAGAATCGAGCCCACCTTTCCCGAAGAATCGATCAGCAACGAAGACCTTGTTTGCTGTATAGAGCTCCTACATTAGGCGCAGCCGCTCGGCAAAATCTGTCAACTGATGGTTCTCTAACAATCACTTCAAGGTCCAGGCTGGCCAGAAGTTAGCTCACGGGAAAGCTCCTTCAATGACCTCAGCAGCAAATGCGGAGCGGCAGCCAATACAACTCCGCGAGTAGTCCGCGTGCTGCACCACCTCTACTCCGCAAGAGCCTGGACACCTGCTGAGCCGCAGGCTTGGCACAGCCTGTCCCGAAACCTGGATGGCCGGAGATCTCCAGACCAATGCAAAAGCGGGTTCGTTAACCCCCATTGACTGGGAAACTATTGATTGACGCCGACGTCAAGGCCGAAGCTCTCCGTGTCGATGTTATGGCTGGCCAGGTATGCGACTAAATCCTGGAGATGATAGGCAGATTCGTGGAAACCGTTGCTCCGGAACTCAATCACGGTGAAATTAGAGTCCTCTTCGTTGAAGCCTACCGGAGGCATGACGAGACCACTGACCTGTGCTCTGGTGCACGCGCGCCGGAACGGCAGTGTCCGTCTTGCAGAAGCCAAGCCTCTTCGCTGCCTTCTGCCATCAGCTTGACCTGCAAACCAGACTTTGAAGTTCGTAGTACGAGTACCGGTGGCCGAATTTCATGTGCCTTCTTCTCGTGAGCTTCATCCACTGTCATCCAGGCAAAAGACTTCAGGTTGCCCTTGTGATCCTGCGATTGCAAAATACTGCACAATCCGATTGCGGCCGCTGCCATTTTAAGTTTACTGGCTGGGTTGTTTCAAGATGAGCTCTGGAAGTTCGGCCATTCGATCTGTACCCCGCGTGACCGGAACACCAAACATCCTTCCCACACTTGTATGCTAACGGCCGGCTTGCCCACTGCTCCTACTTGACATACCGACGCTTCACCGCAAGCCGTGCCGCAATTACGAATAGCTTTTGCAGTTTTGGTTCTCTGCGCGTAGATGTCACTTCAACGACCGCAGATAGCCCACAAAAGGCTGTACAGCGTATTGCTTCAACCTTTCCCTAGCCCACGATATTTGGATCAGTAGTTGGATCGCACAACGGTTTGTAACCGCAAAGCTGTCCTACTCGGCATCGTTATGGCGAGGTCATGGTGCAGAAGCTATGTAGAACAAACCGCGACTGTGTCATTGTTGTGGAAACCGCAGACACACTGACTGCTCTGACGCCCCTGGTTGGCGGCTGGGCGTGGGTAGCCGCACCGCGCTCACGTGATGCGTCGCCCTCTGGCACACTAGGGCTAGGCAAGCGGAGGCTCAGCTGGTGAGGGAGAGGGGATTAGTGAACTCCTTTGTGGCACGAGATCATGCAGGCTGCAAGAAGCAACTGCGACTGGTTGCTTCGCAACAAGTTGCAGCACTCAATGCGACAGCTTGAATGGTAAAGGCGTGACGTGTGACCTGTACAACGTGTACTCGTGCGCCCAGATGTGGCTGCCGACATGCAAAACAAGAGGCCCGTCTTGCTCTGAAGACAGGCCAAGCCAAGTACCGGAACATGTGCGTGCTGATGGCAAAAATCAAGTTCACGACCATGCACATAATTCCTGTCAAAAGCCTGACACTTACGAAAGAAAAGACACAAGTTCCCGCTACCGGCTGCCATTATCATTGCATTATCAAACTATCCGGCAGGAGGGTTTCAGCCGGCCTACCACTGAACTAACATTGAACTTACTACAACTCACGCATCTCAGATCATCTGCGATACCTGGGACCACCTGCTCGCCTAGACTCGAGCCTGAACGTGAAGCCTTTCACAGCTGAGATTGGCCTGCCACACCATATTCGAGATTGAAAGCCTCCATCGCGATGTGCTTAGTGAGCTTCACGAGCAGGACTTTGATTCGAGCCAACTTCAACAGACTTCGCTGAACACATGGCAGCGACTTGTGAGAATTACCCCGAATGATTTGGTCTGGCTCTACAACGGACCGATGTCCTGAAAAGTAGAAATCGTAAATCAGGTTGTTGCGCTTTGCATTGTCTTGCGAAGGTTCCCTTCGGCCCTCCAAACCGCTCTGCCCTTCGTCTGCCCTTCAGGCAGGTTCATGGCACCAGCTGCCTCGGTTCAAGATGAGAAAACACTGCGCAGCCCCTGCCATCCCCCGCCAAGCAAGGCGCCTTTGCGCGAGCGCCCGCGCCGGCACGGCTGTTCTAGTTTAGCGGTCACGAGTCTCCTTCCACGGCACTGAATCTGTCGAAGGGACTTGAATCTACAAGAATCTGCAACTACGTCAGTCCTTGACAGTTATTGCACCTGCCATCGACAAAGGAGCCCTCTTTCGATACTTCTTCCTCGGGGTCGCAGCTGCCACGCCGCCGATCAAGGAGCCACAAGCATCAACAATGCCTGTACCAGCAGGCGTAGCTATGTTCTCCTAGTTGCACCTGAGCCCGCCACACATCCACAGGCCGCTGGGGCGAGCAGCTCCGTCTTGTTTCCTGAGCACAACCACTGCAACTCAACACCCAGAGACTTGGCTTGTTCACAGTTGCTTTCTAGATCCACGCACAAAACTTGGTAGCAGGTTCATCCGAAGCCTGTCGAGCAAAGATAGCAGGGTTTCAGTACAAGTTCAAGCTCCTGACACCTCCCCTCATAACAATGCGCGATTCGATCCAACATTGGACTCTACATTACATAATATTACATACACTGGATCGACCATGAAGCCCGACAACCGTCGACAGAGAATGACGTCTGGACGACACAGCTTGGCTATCCAAGGCCCTTGCCAGGTCTCCCGAGTAGCCATGGCTGCCGATAGAGTGGTCTTAGGAACGCACGGCACAAACATCAGGCTCTTGGCATCACTGCCTCATGCAACCAGCCTCTGCTCACTGCATCGAGCTCATGATGGCTCGAAGCGCCTCTCGCGATTCAACGATGTCGGTGGGTCTCTTCGGCTTCAGCCGTCACACGTGATTTGCACGGTCACGAACTTCTCTCCGGTGCCTAGACTCGGCCCACGGCTAAGCGCGTCCCCGGAATATGGCGTGAACTGCTTACCTGTGCGCGGCAGCGGTGTTGAAGGTTCGGGGGCGCATGGCTAGCCGTCGACAGGCAACCCTGGGCGGCACTAAACATTGCTGAACCCCTTCGAGCATTAGCACCTCCCATCACCTCCCTGAGCCGTCTCTTCCTCGCCTTCCATGCTGTGGCTCGGGCGGAGGGCATCGACCTGCGGCCAATCCAACAGCACACACGCCACTGGAGCAGCAAGTTCTGGTGCCTCTAGCCGGTCCAAGATATCCATGTCCGCAGAAGGCGGTTTTGCATGCCTCACCGCCACGCAGGCTTGCAAGACTTCGGAAAGGTACTTACATGGACCCGACGGACAGCAGCAGCCTGTCGGATGCGCCATGAGCTATCTTCGTGCGGCTCATGCGCGGACCCATGTCAGCTGCCCTCTGCTTTCAGCATGTCAGAGAAGCTTGACCACAAGAAGACTTTTACAATTATTTGGACCCGGTGCTGATCACGAATGTTCGCAGGCGATCTCGCGCGACATGACAAGCGTGGCAAGCAAGCAAGCAAGCAAGCAAGGGAGATGTGCGCTTGATTCGTGATGTACACTTGTGACATTCGACATGCCCTGGTGCCACTATTGGCTTCTCGAGGCAGTGAGACTTAAAGGCTAGACTCTAACCAAACACAAATGACGCCAGAAACATTTCTGTGCTGCCTTGAGGTGCTCCTCGCCTTTCCACCTGGTCGTTCAGACCTGGTGCAATTTCTTCGCCATCATGCTCGCAAGCTCGGGGCTCTACCGGGTCTTGACTGTATTTGGACTCAGACCGGCCATCCGTCCGCTGACCCGGTCGCGACCTGGCAGACGCCGCCCAGCAAGGAGTCCCAGATCACTCTCACACACGGGATCAGCGAGAATCCTGCGAGACGGTCTCGGTCCCACGATGCACAGAACTGAAATCGAAGGAAAGGCATGGCTTAGCAATGCCGAACACCTGCTTCGCTGCATTGGCTTTTCATCTGGCGGATGACTGGAGACCTGTACAGAACGTTATCTGCACTTCCAGATCGAAGCGTCGCTACTAGCAGTTGGCACACACTCTGACAAGAAATCACTGGGCGGTCAGCCTCGGAGTGTCGATCCTCTGCATCACCTGCTGTGCATTCCGACACTCTCCCTTGCAGATCGTGTGAGCATGACTGGCGACACTGATCGAAAAGCTTTCGGAAGTATGCTATGCCCAGTAGAGTGCGGCCATGCAGCTGTCCATGAGCTTTCCTGAGTAGCGAGCACAGGACATGGGGCCATAGAACCGAGCTGCACTAGTAGTCACTAGCAGTCACCAGCATGACAAATGAGTGTGGCCAGCCCGAGATCCTGTCAGACGTCTCCCCAACCGTGACCGTTAGCGCCCCCAAGGCAAGGACGACGGCGCGATGAAGCGCGAGACTTTGCAGGTCTGAGCAGTGCAAAGCTTGAGTCAAATCGCAAGGTGTTGCCGTGCCAGTGCCGGGACTTTGGGCGCATTGCACAACGATTGAAATCCACGACACTGCTACGCTTCGAAAGCACGACTTTGGCTGCTGCACCCAGCCTGGTGCTTGTGCTTGCCTGTCGCGGGATAGGTACGTTGCCAACTGCCGACCCTCAAGAAGGGTGAGCCTGCTCCAACGTTGCTCTCCAGGCCGCATGCACGCGCTCCTGGACTTGCTTGACCAAAAAACGGGTGAGGGAGGGAAGCGAGGGAGGGGGGGATCTACAGAGACACACTGATTCGTTGCTGCGACTGGCCACGAGAACGGCTCCTCCACTAAGGAGTAGTCACAGTTGCCGGAGTTAACCTGGCTGAGCACATCATTGGTGGGTTGACATGAAAGGTCAAGAGATACTCCGATTGTCCGACCAGCAAAACCGACACGTTGCGAGCAGCATCGGCCATGTCCTCGCAGCCACGGAGCCGCATGAGGTCAAAAAGCATGGTGCAAGCAAGCTTGCCCCGGGCGCTCTGTGGAGTCCGATAGTGCTGACTTCAGTGTAATAGCATGACTTTCCTGACACGAAGAGATTCCAGCCCCGGATCCTGAAGCACCATGGATGGCTCTCCATCCGCATTCTGCCAGCTGTCGAGCAGGAGATCGAGCTCTTCATTGAAGTCGCCTTCACCGGGAGCGTCGTTTACAACTCGAAATTCGTGCTCCCAGCGGAAGATCTCTGTGAGTATGGACAATCTCTGCGGACTTAAGGCCTTTGCCTTTGGTCAAGAGCCGCTTGATGTTGCTCAACAGCTCTTCGCCTCTTCGGCCCACCTGCACCAGGACACTCTCACCCGGGCCCTGGGCCCAGGACATGACCAAGCTGGGCTTGCTGGCTGGGCTTGCTGCGTAGGGTCGAGTTTTTGCATCTCAAGGCGCCAACATCCGTTGCATCAGAGGCACTAGCATGACTATCATGCTACATTCTTCAAGCTGGATGATCAGGCTGCCAAAATGTCCGCGCTCCAGGCGCTCCCCCATCCATCATTTGGAAAGTCACTCTTTCTCTATCTTCTTCCACAGGGGCAAACGAGCGTGTCAAGCCCCCTGGCGACATGGGCCCCCCAGTGTTTGTGGGTACCCGGACCATGTGTGAGACAGTGCACCGGGTGTCCCCCAGGTTTTCTCGCTCTCTCTCTCTCTCTCTGCGACTTTCTCTCTTTGCGGATGGGCAGTCCGCATCCCCCGCTCGTCTTTCGCTCTCTCTTTCTGCAGGTCCGAAGCCAAAGAGGAGGGGAAGACCCCCCCCAAGGCGCATGCGAGTTTGGAGTCGTCAGTTTGGATTCAAGTGCCACGGGCGTGGCGATGGTGCTTCCACCGTCGAATGGACGACGGACGACAGGACTACTCGTACTACTGGCACAGGGGGAAAACACTCCCGCATCGCAAATTCTGAGGCGTGTGTCGGGCCTCTGCCCTGTCATTCGGGCACCAGGAATGCCAGGCTTTGCCAGAAACAGAGCTTGGTGGAGCAACCACCTGCTTTCTGCACTAAGACAAAGACAGCCCATGGCCAAAGCTAGGTTACGAGGGACATGATTTTTTTTGAGTATCCGCCGCAGGCAGGACCCCTCCTTGGATAGCTGAGCACTGCGACGTTGCCAAGTGTCCTCACAGGGACTCGGTGCTCATCACGACACTCACGCTGTTCTCACACATAACTTCTCCTCGCAGACCGCACATGTCTCACAAGTCAACTATTGCTCGGCAGCATGCTACTACCGCCGAGGCACCTGAATAGCTGGAACCACCTCTTTCAGGCTGCTTTTCGCCGCGCTTTCTGCGGCATCGGCCAGGCTGCGCAGTAGTTCGGCAGTGATCGCGTCCTCAAGCCCGTCAATGAATCCATAGGAGCAGACACGAACAAGATGCAGCACAGGCACCGCAGCCGAAACCAATGAGCTACCAAACCCATGCAATATCATGCAATTCAATTTGCGAAAGTGTGAGACTTCTTCACACTTCTGAAGATAGTGTGGAGAAACACACCAGAGCACTGCAATTTGAAGCAGAGCTTCGACGTTCTCGGATGCCTGATACCGTTGCCAGTGTTGCAGCAGCCTTTGAACCTGACGTACTGAAGCAGCATATATTTTCTTGCTATCCTGATAGCACGTACCGAAGAACGGACGTCGCTGGGACTCTACCCCTTGAACCTCGAGCGTCTTCCGCTCGTCGCTGTCTGTGTTTTGTAGAATCCCCTGCCAAGGGATGACACTTGTAGAGCTCACCGAGGTCACTCCGCATCGCGACCTCGAGTTTCTGCAGAAGCTCCTCTCGAGCTCGGTCAGCCTTGGGCCAACAGCTGGCAGACTTTCGAAGTTCGCCTTGGAGTCCGCACCTTTGCAAGGTCGGGTGATGAGCGAGGTCGGCTGCGGCTCCGGTTCCGGTCCTGGCAATGCCAGCGACGAAAGCTCTAAAGTCCTGCACTGCACGACGAGCCGCTCCCGGCCAGGAGTGATACCAACCTGCGGTCCTCGCGATGTCGAGCCTTCTCGGGTGAGGCGGAAGAGTCCTAGCAAGATGGTGCCTCTTTGCTGTTCAGCTTCTTTACCGCGTGAAGCTGAGATTGTGGGTGAGACTACGGGTAAGAGTTAGTGCGACGAATATAATGTCTGCTCCTGCCCGTTTGCTTCAGCCAGGTGCTGTCGCCAAGCTCCCTGTATCTGAGGTCGCAAGCCTCGGCAGAGGCTTTGGCCGCTCCCTTCGAGTCAAGATCAAGACAATGCCCTACTGGCTAGGACCCATCCCACAACTCCTGTCAGGATCTGTCAGGCAAGTGTCGGATGAAATCAGAACCCGAGGCCTCACCCTCCAGCTGCAGGACTCCCTGCCAAGCCCAAGCCGACACATCAGAGCGCACTATGCCTGCCATTCCGCCTGCAGCGAGTCCAGCAACTTCTGTAACCAGGCGGCCAGTTCAGAGTCCTGCAAAATACGAAGCCTGATCTTTATGAGACCACGATCAAATTCCTAGCTTTGGACCTGTGCATCCACTTTACATCGTATTCGGTTCCGGGAACATCCTGGAACGTATTCAAAGCTGTCCTCACCCACGCCTCTCGCAGCCAACTGTCGCGCCTCGACAAGTCGACCCCGACTCACAGGGCGCAAGGCGTGCTCTGACCCCACAGGGCCTTCCAGTCGGCGCAGCTCTGCGACACGTCACTCAACAAGTTGGCGCCCGGTCGGGCCCAACTTCCCTTGAAGAGATCCTGCCATCAGTTTGCACACGTCCAAAGTGAGCCTGAAGCACGAGGAGCTGAAGACTTTGGCGCCTCCAACTCCCGCAGCAGCTGTTCACCGTCTGCTACCGCCTGGCAATGATGCAAGTGGGCAGAGCTAGCATCTGGACTCAAAAATAAAGGCTGCCAAAGTATGGCAAATGCTCATTAGGTTTTGTCGAAATGAAATGTTCGACAGTTTCTGAAATCCCGGCCTGACTCCGGCTGTGCCGATCCAACTTTACTCCAGGTCGGCTGCGTGGCTGTTCCCCATGAACCTGTCGCTTCCAGAGATCCTTCCGGCCAGTCTCGCAGAGACCAAGACTATTCGAGAGAGTGATGCTTGAGGTCCTTGATCTCCGACTGCAGCTTCTCGTGAAAAGCCATATCTGCAGGCATGACCGCGCCCTGGGTCACCAGCACCTGCCTTGTCGCATCCACGAAGCCTCTTGCGGTGCCGCAGGAAGGTGCAGAAGCATGGGAAAGTCGGAAAGACCCATGTCATGCATCCAATGTATGCCCATGTGCCGTACCTTGCAGAGTCCGTGCCAGCTCCGAGTCTTTACCAAGGCCACGTTCCCGGAGCGTCCTGTGCGCCCATTTGGAACATCGGCTCCTGCGAAACTGCTGTTGCTGCTCTCTTTCTCCTGGTCCCCAAGTGCTGCCGAGGTTCTCGAATTCAGGCCTGAGGTCTTCCCCGTAGCACCTGGCTTTCTGCATCCACGCATCTGGCGCACTGTGCAAAACTGGTGATGTCCGCGGTCCGTGCCTTGACCAGGCTACATCAAACATCCCTTGAAGATCCTGCAAAAGTCCGTCGCCATCCTTCAAAACCTGCGGGCACCAAGTCAACGTTCACGGCGGGAAAGGTAGAAAATGCGAGCGACAATGCAGCATTTGAGAAAGGCTCTGGTCGAATCTTGATCTGCGAACTTAGTAGTCGAATATGTGTTCTTTCCTGACGGAAATGGCAGGTCAAATCTTGAAGGCGACAGCATGCGTCGTTGTCGACGTATTGACGTAGTGTCCTTCCCCTCTTCTGTTCTCGTGTAGAACGGCTTCACATCGAACACGCAGGCAAATCAAGGCACCTGAGCCTTTGCACGCTTCTCCAGCTTTGCATTGGCTTTGTCCCGTCCACCTGGCCGGCGCTCCAAAGTCAGGTCAGGTCCAATGAATACCGCTTCGCCCTGCCTCTCTCCGCACTTCGCCAGGCTTCCTCTATCTGGGGACGCAGGATATTGAAGTCCAGCTGATCGCTCTCACCCAGGTCGTTGAGGTTCTTGTCTACGACCACCTGAGAAAAGACAGGCATGCGAATGCAAATGACTGGTGACCAGTGACCAGTTCATTGGCTCCCACCTCCACGGAGTTGGCTAGCTTCTTCAGGCTTACTCTGTGGGCATCTCGTTGTCGCGCCTCCCATGACATGAGGAACCTAACCGCATGCTCAATACAGTTCACGCAGGGAAAGAGAAGGATCGGGATTAGCAGAGGCAACTTGCGACGACCTAGGAGCCCTGTGAGCCTTCCAGGTGTCGCACGCCTTTGCCACCTCCGCCTCTGTCCACGTGCCGTCATTGAAGAGCCTTTCCATGTCCTGCAGAAGGGAATCTCCACCATAGGCCTGCAGCTGAAATTACAGCGAGTCTCGTGGGCATAAGTGCAAGCACGATAACTATCTGGAAATGTGATGTTCGGTTTCGAAGAAACTGGTGAAGCAGTCACAACATTTGGGTGTTCATGTTGGGGCCTCACTGCGTTTTCGCAAGGACGGCGGAGACCCGAGAGAAGGCAGAACGCAATAGAACGCACTTGCGAAGTGGGGGCAAACGAGCCTGGACAGTCTGCGCTTGGAGCTCCCGGCTCCAAAGCCTCTCCATCTCCGCTCGAAAGGAGCCGAAGTCCGAGGTCGCTGGCGCTGAGATCGCTGAGACGGCGCTTTTTGCCAGCTGCTCCACCCCTGCACTCAGAGCCTCCCGCTGCCTCGATTGCCATTGCTCGCACAAAGACGACAGCTCGGGCCGCAAGTTCGATGGCCCAGGCCCATCCGTGAGCAGCCTCTCCAACGTATCGAGCAGATCGGCACCGCCATGCACCTGCTAAGGCTCTACGATTTGTATATGGCGCCGGTCATTCTGCATCACTACCGGATGGAGCAGGAGAAAGGGATTGGTTCGGGGCATTCCGAGCCTCTTCCACAGCGAAGGCCGATGGTTCGAGACTTCGAGGGCGGGACACAGAGCGAAGCTGGCGCTGCCATACATCCTCGATCTCAGGCCGCAGCTCTGCAAAGCCCTTGGCGTCTTTGCAAGGTCCGTGCCGCTGCACCACACCCTGTAGCGACTGGGATAGCTTCTGCAGCACGACTGCCACATCAGAACCAGCAGGGAGCCCCTGTGCTTCCAACTGGCTCGCCTTCCAGCTCTCACATACCCGTGCGAGTTCTATCGTGCTTTCCGAGTCCAGATGATATTCCCAGCCGGCATTGAAAAGATTCAACACGTCGTTGAACAAGAAGTCGCCGCCATATGCCTGTAATTTCGTCGTAATGTTGGATCGAAAAAACTAAGGGAGACTGCTAACATGAGTTTGCCAAAGCTTTCTGCCTGCGCCACGCTGGGCTGCACGGGTGGCAGCGTCGCAGATTGGCGGGTGTTGCCTTCACGTTCCAACTGCTGCCTCCATGCCTCTTCGATTGCCGGTCGCATCCGCGAGAAATCACCCGTTCCCAGAACGGCACCGTCCAGTCCGCTGCTGCCCTTCTGGCTCACCACGTGCTGGAGGGATGCAGACAACTGCTCAAGGACATTCGTTCCGTCCGAGGCGAGGGACAGGTTCTTGGCCTCCATCTGTTTCCTCTTCCAGCTCTCGCAAATTCTGGCAATTTCCGGCCGCAGGTCTGCATCCGGATGCCTCCAACTGTCGTCGAAGAGCTTCTGCAAGTCATTCAGCAAGTCGTCGCCACCGTAAGCCTGGCTCACTAAGATGACTTCTTCCACTAAGTGCTTCCTGCAGAACGCTCTGCTGGGCCTTGCCTCCATCCTTTTCGCTGGATGCCTCTGCCAGGCCTCCCATGCGCTCCGTGGACTTCCAGAACACAGCAATGCGCCAGGGTGCCTCCTCGATGGCTGCCCTGAATTTTGCGAAGTCCGAAGACCTGGAGGAGGCTGCCTGCGCAATGATGCCTGCAAGCAGTCGAATCTCAACATTTGTGGCTGCATGTTTGGCCCTGCCTGCCTTCTGCTTCAGACCACATGGCCTCTAGCCGAGATGGGTGCACAGCTGCATGGCGCTGGCGCCATCGCGCCGCGATCTCCGCAGCCTTGGCTCCAGCCCGAGAGCACAAAAAAGCGCAAATTTTCAAAAGCCTTGGAGTGTTTTGCTTGGACGCGAGACCTCATTTAGCTCAGGAGCCTCAGAGATCGGCACACCTCTTCGGGTTTCAAAGAGCTGAGACAGCTCTGCCAAGAGCTCATCTCCTGCTGTCCGAAGCTTCATCTCAATGCCTTTTTGCTTGCCTCGGTGTCGCAAGATTTAACACTCGGCTTCAATGGAGATGGTAGCTCACATGCACACCCCGACGCACTCGCCTAAGCATATGTATGTACATATGTATGTACATATATATATATATATATATGCCTTGTCCTGCCCACACCTTTGTCATGCCTGCAGTGTTGCTGTAGTACCCAGGCACCTCAACCTCAAACCGTCGGCAAGAAAGGGCATCCTCCTGCAAAGCCTCTCCAGCACTGGCAAGCTTGTGGGAGGGAAACACCACGCTAGTCGGAGAAAAGCGTCTGTTCACGGAAAGCTTCTCCAAGCGCTCTAGGAGATTCGCCTGTGACCGCGATGCTTAGCTTTGAGGACCCTACAGCGACCCCGATGAGTTGACAGGCTGGGAAGCATGCATAGAGCTTCTATCAACAGTTAACATCACTTCACTACAGTACCCAGTGTCCTGATTCTCCTCCGATGCAGTGACTTTCACCCCCTGCGACTCCGTAGGATGACGTGCAGAATAGATCCTCGGACCGGGGAAGCTCTCAGCATTCAGACCCGAGCCAAGCCGAGACCTCTGTCCAACGTCCCTCACTGCAACGGAGGCTCTTTCGCATGATGACACTGCTGGCAGCCATCTCTATACTCTGAAGGGCCGTGGCCGCCGCCTCATCTCGGGCAAAGTGCGCACGTGCCACAGATCGAGTGCGCCAATCTGCCCGCACACGAGCCAGCTCCCGAAGAACCTGGGCATCCAACTCTTCACACCCCCACGAGCACATGTGTGTTTGGCCCGCGCTGTAGCTGGCAAGGGGCGTCGGCGTCGGGAATGGTGCTACCAACATGAAGGACTTGCCGTAGATCGTGAAGCAGTTCCGAGCTTGCCCATGCGACGACATCACGCTCCGCCTTGCATCTCAAAACATTCAGCTCAGGTTGGACCAAGGCCTCAACTTTTGGCTTTAGAACTCGCCTCTGGCAGCGTCTCCTCAGATCTGCAATGTTTTTGCCACGCCACGTCAATGGCTGCCTGCAGCTTTGCGAGCTCAGGGTCGGCCAGGCTGGGGTCCTCACCTTGGTAATCAGATCTGACTGGCAAAACTCACGGTTTGAAAGTAAGATGCTAGAGCCTAGAGCGGCTAGACTGTTAGACAAGCAGCTTCCCACTAGATGAGGATTCAGCAGCACCTCCTTGGTAGTCTCGATGACGCTTGCCGGCATCATCTCAGGGCTGCCGGGCAGGAAGTCGTTGCGATGCCAGGTCTCGAAGAGCTCCCCCAGCTTCTGTGGGATTTGCTTCGCTGTCGACGACTTGAAGATCTCCTTCCAGGGACGCAACATGCACAGAGACGCACCAGACAAGTGAAAACTCTGAGCAGCTAGATTCAGCTAAAGTAGACATGCACAAATATGAGCCAAAACACAGATAGCTGCGCGCAAAAACATCCACGCGTACCTGGCTAAATAAAGCAATGCTTCTGGGCACGCACATATGTAGATGTCCACACAAAGATATGTTGTCTATGTACACATGGGTACACACGTACATAACATAACATAACATAACATAACATAACATAACATAACATAACATAACATAACATAACATAACATAACATAACATAACATAACAAAACATAACCTAACCTAACCTAACCTAACCTAACCTAACCT